AGCAGATCTATAGGGACCAAGATCTTACGCAAGGTAAGATTTACTACCCATGCGCGTGCAAGAGTTCCTTTCTCGTGTGTATCGGCTGCCCCGTCAACTCTATAAATAGTAAAATAGTAAAAAAATAGTAAAAAAAGGGACGCGGGGAACCTGCTGGTGTTGCCGAAGAGTAAAACCTACTGTACGTTCAAGTGCACCGTCAGCCACTTCAGGTTATTACCGGCTTTGTGGACGCCAGCTGAATGATTAGCTGGCTGAAGAGATTACTTTTTTTTTTTGCAAACACGCAGTGCTGATGCAGCTGCAGCTTGCGTTGCTCGGCGTTGCGGCGTGCGGCCAGGTTTGTATCTGGGCCACCGGTATTCCGTCAACCTGGCCATGTATAACGCACGCTCCGCTTGGCTCCTCTCCTGCTCCCCGGGAAGATTGTTTTGATGCCAGTGGAAGCGTTAAAAAGGAGTTTGTGGTGGTTAAAAATGAGTTTATAATGGAGGCCGGAGTAAAATCCGTAGCAGAGCGCAGATCCCCGGATTATTTTCCGGTTAATATTGTTCTTACCTTCCTTTTCAGATGTTGGCATGGAGCATTTTATTAAAAAGGTGGAGGCGGCTCACTGTGCTGCCTGTGACCTCTTCATCCCAATGCAGTACGGCATCATCCAGAAGCACTTGAAGTCGCTCGACCACAACCACAACCGCCGGGTGAGTGGGCAGCCTGGCACCTCGGGGGTCTCGCAGGCTTCAGCCGCGATAGGAGGAGCGTGAGTTTGGATGGCTTGAGTTCAGGTGGTTCCTGAAACCAGGGTGAACATTTCTCTGTCCTCTTCAGCGCTGCCTTCCATGGTCTGCAGTTAGTTTTGATGTTCTTGTGTCCCCCCAGAAATTTCTCTCCACGGTCTGCAGTCAGTTTTGACTGTTCTTGTGTCCCCAGTGTAGGTGGTTAGGATCTGGCGGCTCAGGGTCGGGCGCCGTGCCGTTCCTGAACCAGGTCGCCACGCCATACGAAGGCAACACCCAGAAACTCCCCCTGTGCAAAAGCTGGCGAGCGAGGTGTTTGCGGGATTAAAGCACCTTCAGCAAAGCTTCGTGCCGCTCTGAAAACGAGATCTCGTGTCTCTTGCCCCGTTTCTTGCAAAACAAACGGCTTTCTGACTTCCCCACTTCAACGTACATACAGGATGATTTTGTTACAAGCTTTACTGTGCCCACAAGCAGTGATCCGAGGGGATGGCTGTCAGACGACAGCTTTTTCTAGGTATAAAAATACGTATATCGGCACACGACTGAATCTTGACGCGTTACTGTGGCGCTGTTGAGCAGGCTGCGGTACCGTCTGCAGCGCTCGGCTGTTCAGCCGTCCTTCGCTCCCCACACTTCAGCAGAGCCGGAACGCGCCGACTTTCAGCTTCAATCCCCAGAGACTGAAAGCTGAAACGATCCCGCTGACGGAAGTGGGTGAAACAGCCCGCGCAGCTTTTCCTTGGCTGCCCGATACTCGCCTTTCCGAAGCGCGGAATTGAGGAACGTGCAGAAAATCGCAGATTTCTTAAATATTGCTGTGTTGTCACCTACCCAAATACCGAAGCGTGCTCTGTAGCCTGTCGTCCGCTGCTGAGCTGTGACTAATTACGGGCCTCATAAGTTAATTCAGGACAAAATCTAAGTGCGTGGTTTGTGTTTCTTTTTTTTTTGGTCCTCCCGGACAGGCTATGATGGAGCAGTCCAAGAAATCGTCGCTAGTAGTTGCGAGGAGTATTCTCAACAACAAACTAATCAGTAAGAAACTGGAGCGGTACCTGAAGGTAGGTATTTGGTATGGGGTCAAGCTTGTAGCAGCACTTTCATGTTGTAGGAATTTTGCGGTAGCTGCTGTTGAGGGTGCTTATTAGCTGAATTTTGAGGCGATTTGGGGAGATTTTTGACCATATATTGGATTCCTGGTTGCTGGTCATCGAGTCTGTACAGTGCAGATGACTTCGTCTGTCATCTCCTGCCCCACGTGTTGCACCGAACCCTGAGCGAGAACAGGATGAGCCAGGCCTCCGGCTTCAATTTGGCCGGAGAGCTGCCCGTTGCTGTGCTGTCGCCGCTAATATTAGCGTGGATTTGAATTCTCGAGGTGGCATCTGCTTTCAGGAGCTGCTCACTTGACTGCTTTTGGTGCAGCCGTAACGCTGAACTTCTTGGGAGGGTTTGCTGGCGTGTAGCCGGTGTGAACGCCTCCAAGTAGCTGGTGATAAACTCGCAGCAGACGAATGTTTGTCTTCTCTTTTCAGGGTGAGAATCCTTTCACGGATGATCCAGAAGAAAAAGAGGAGCATGAGGAAGGGGAAGGGGGAGCCAGTGGAAATGTAGAGGAAGGAACAGCAGAAGGAGCAGATGAAAACAAGGATGAGGAGGAAAATGCGGAAGAAGAAAATCCAGAGGAGGAAAATCCGGAAGAAGAAAATCCAGAGGAAGAAAATCCGGAAGAGGAAAATCCGGAAGAAGAAGAAGAAAACCCAGAGGAGGAAAATCTAGATGAGGAAAACAAGGATCCCGAAGAGAACCCAGAAGGAGCTGAAAATGAGGGGGAGCGAGAAGAAACAGGGACAGAGCCAGAAATCGAGGCACAACCGCAAACAGAAGTGGAGCCGGATGCAGAAAACGCGGAGGAGCAGACTTCCCCGCCTGCAGAGGAATCTCTCCCTGAGGAAGAAGAGCAACAGCCAGCAGAAGGTGTGGAGGTGGAAGATGAGGAGGAAGAAGGTGAGGAAGCTGCTGCAGCACAAGAGGACGAGGACGCGGAGTAAACTCTGGAGGGGGAAACGGCTGTGTAAAAGACCTGACGTATTTTGGGTTGTTTGTTTTTTTTTTTTTCTTTTAAAGAACATAACTGTATCTGTGAATTTCATAGCACATGTTTTTGAGTTCTCATTCTACTAAACTCACTTAGGCAGTGGAAGCCTTTACCTGTAAAGTGATTTTTTTGGAAAATAGAGGAAATTTTTTTTTTTTACCAAATCTTCATTTTAGTAGCTAGGTTTTGTGCGGTCTCTGTTTTTTAGATAGCTTTGTACTAGGAGAATTTCCTTTTGAGCATGTGTGCAAACCAGTGCTACTTCACGATCTGGCGAACGAAACCTCTTCTCTTCCCCTTGAATTGAAACTTTTCTATATTTAACAAAGATGTGGTTTGTCCCCTTAGCCTGTCTGTCTGGAAACATCAGAAATTCTATTCCGGGGTTTTAATTTCTGCAGTGTCCGCCGTTTAAGGTTCTGCATAACTTCCACGTGACTGTAATATTCTCCCTGATGTTTTATTCTTCCTTTTAACGCGGAGCGAAACTAAGTGGTGTCAACATTGTATTGTTTGTAAAATGCTTTCATTTGAAAGGTGAATGTTTTGGTGGGTGGAGATAAAAGGACTATCCTGAGATTACCTGTGACTCTGCCTTAATTTCTGGTGCCCCGGTAAAGCTTGTGAGAGGTCGGAGGCTTAGAACCGGTCTACAAATCCTGTGTCTCCATGCTCTGGTGTGTTATTTGTGTTCAGCTCGGCTTCCCTCTTCAACACTGAAGATGGAGCTGACTTACTCGCCCGTGGTAGCAGCAACCACTTAGCTGAAGCTGTCATCGGTTAATCATCAACTGGAGTACGGATCCTCCTCCCTGAAATGAGGGAGAAATAAGGAAATCGGTTTCCATGGCACCGCAGAGGTTATTCCTGCTACGGAGAGGGGCGGCTGGGAGCTTTCCTGCCGGATGGGTTGATGGATAAGGATGCGCTTTGCCTTGAATCGCAGGTTGTGACACCACGTCCAGTCTTAAAAACCTCCAACTTGATGTAAATTTTTTGTGCAAGAGAAGTTTCCCCCAGCGACGGGCAGAAAGGGAGATTTAAGCATTAACATGAAGACAAAGTGCTGAGACTGTTCCCGACCTCAGACCCTTTCCTCCAGCGCGGGTCCCCGGCGGCAGCGACTGCCGGATGCTTCAGCTGCGCCCGTGAAGTCCTCTGCGAGCTAACGGGATTGAGAGATGGCTGAGCTGAGCTCCGTGGGAGGGAACACTTCACCTGCTCCACGCCAGGGAGACTTAATACCCGTGAAAACACCGAGCTCGGGCCCTGAACTGTTCATCCTGGCATCGCCCACTCGCCTTCCCGAGAGGTGCACCGCTCTCATGCAGATCGCCC